ACTATATGTTGTAATTCACTAAAAAACCTGACTCATCTGATCATGAATCAGTCTACACTGGTTGCATTAAATGTGAAGTGAAGTGAAGTGAAAGTGACCCATACTCGGAATTAGTGCTCTGCATTTATCCCATCCAAAGTGCACACACACAGCAGTGAACACACACACACCGTGAACACACACCCGGAGCAGTGGGCAGCCATTTTTGCTGCGGCGCCCGGGGAGCAGTTGGGGGTTCGGTGCCTTGCTCAAGGGCACCTCAGTCGTGGTATTGAAGGTGGGAGAGAGCGCTGTACATTCACTCCCCCCACCTACAATCCCTGCCCCGCAACCTTTGGGTTACGAGTCCGACTCTCTAACCATTAGGCCACGACTTCCCATCTTAAATGTTGTTCTTCTGCAGTTTTTTTTCATGGTGCGTGTTTTTTTATTGCACCACATTGAATACAGACAGCTCATGACTCACATTTACAATGAATGCAGATAAGATTTTCTTTTCATTGTGACGTTAAAGAGTCCGCAGGGAAAGCATTGATTCAGCATTTTATGTGTAAAATTTTACATTAGTAAAATATTAATAAAAGCAGTTTATTTGTTAAAAGTAACAAGCCTGTTCATCTTGTCTCAAATATGTCAAACTGGTCCTGCTTTATAGGAGTGATTGAAGGAGTCTGGAGCTGCTGGTCTGCCTGGAGTAGCTGCTCTCAGGGTCAAAAGTCAAGGACTCGTTTGTGTAATAATCCTGCTCCAAGAAATGGAGGCAGGAATTGCATAGGAGAGACAGTAGAGCGTAAAAGCTGTGAGGAGCCTGATTTTGAACACCTCAAGTGAGGATCAACAATTCTTACATTTTATTTGGATTTAGATTTTTTCAGACCTAGACTCATGACAGTTTTTCATACTCTAGGATGATGGAGCCCCACTGCTTTGATCCCTCAGTGACACCTGTGAAGACATGTAAAACTCCACCTCCTTTGACAAATGGATTTGTTGTGGTAATTGTCTCCCTAATCAAGGGAACTGGAGGGGGGTGGGAATACGCACATTAGTGAAAACCCCTTCAATACACAAAACTTGCAACAGACATGTGTTTTACATCTCACCCATCATGTATTCAGGACCCCAAAGAGAGTCTGGAGCTGCTGGTCTGCCTGGAGTAGCTGCTCTCAGGGTCAAAAGTCAAGGACTCGTTTGTGTAATAATCCTGCTCCAAGAAATGGAGGCAGGAATTGCATAGGAGAGACAGTAGAGCGTAAAAGCTGTGAGGAGCCTGATTTTGAACACCTCAAGTGAGGATCAACAATTCTTACATTTTATTTGGATTTAGATTTTTTCAGACCTAGACTCATGACAGTTTTTCATACTCTAGGATGATGGAGCCCCACTGCTTTGATCCCTCAGTGACACCTGTGAAGACATGTAAAACTCCACCTCCTTTGACAAATGGATTTGTTGTGGTAATTGTCTCCCTAATCAAGGGAACTGGAGGGGGGTGGGAATACGCACATTAGTGAAAACCCCTTCAATACACAAAACTTGCAACAGACATGTGTTTTACATCTCACCCATCATGTATTCAGGACCCCAAAGACACGTATCCAGTAGGCAGTAAGATTCAGTACACCTGCACAGACGGACATGATCACATTGGCAATCCAATCGCTGAGTGTACTGAGAACCTGACCTGGAGGATATCGCCCATGGAGTGCAAAAGTAATTCTTTAAACTACAAAAGAAAGAAATTCCCCATTTAGCAAAAAAATATTTATCTTCAAATTTTATATTTTTATATAAATGTACCAAAAAAATGGCCAAAAATATATTTGCTAAAATGTGTTTACATTTTAAAATATATTTTTATGAAATTATATTATTATATAATATTGTTATATATTTTTGAAAAAATATTACAAAATATAAATGTATTTTTTTAAAGTATTTAAAAACATATTTTGCCCTCCATATATTTCAATCCAAGAAAATACAATCACATTTCACATTTGAAGGAAAACTTTATTTGTCTATATAACTCGTGAATGTATAACATTTGAATAAAAATCAGCAAGGGACATACTATATACAATGTTCCAATATATATAAAAATTATTAAAATATGATAAATTTAGTTTTGAGCTCTAGTAAGCTATTCCATCCACATTTGTATTTAGCCTAAATGTAGGCTACTGTAAGACTGGAAATGTATTTTCTTTCCCCTGAAATACATTTTGAAGTATATGAAAGTATATTTCAAAAATATATTTCATGAAGCTTCACTGTTTACAACAAATATTTAGCATATACAGGTATTTAAAATATATTTTGGCCAGTATTTTTTTATTTATTTGCTGTATGAGTCATTCTAAAGTGTTCTGGATGGTTGCCAAAACTTTGCTCTGCAGTTGTTAAGGCATTGATTACTTACTCGTATTTTCTTCTCATTGTGCACCAGAAACAGCATGTGATCCTCCAGCGGTTCTGAGTAATGTCACTGCCAGACCCTCAAAACAAGCTTATCTGATTGGGGAAAGTGTGACCCTGTCATGCCCAAGTGGGATGCAGAAAGAAGGCGAAGCAGAAATCATGTGCCGTCTTGGTCTCAGCTGGTATCCAACACCTGAGAGTGTCCGGTGCAACCCAGGTAGGCTGTAGATTCCTAATAAACACCAATGAGGTACTTGGTTTCAATTATTACATATATTGTTTTTCTGAATAGTGGACGCAGTGCCCACTCAACCAAGCCTGTTCTGCAAACCATGGGAAAAACCAGCAAAGGGTCAGTGTGTTTGCAAAATGCCATATGAATGCATGTAAGTTTATTAGTTATGATATTGAATACAAAAACGAATAATGACCATACAAAGCAGCATGAATTAATGTCAAATCTCTATGTGATGTTGACCAGGACGTCATTCCAGATTTGTGGCTCTGTGCGTCCTGGACGCGTGAACAGAATGAGCATCTGCCAGCTTGGGGCCTTGCAGTGTCTGGGGCAAACATTTACTTTGCTACAAGATAGTGCATGCAGTTGGCCTGAAACCAAATTCACATCCTGTCAGGACTGCCATCAGTGGGAGACATGTGATGGTAGGCTCTTTATAAAACATCAAAACCTTTAATACATATTCTGCAAAAGTTCTGCAACTGTGCCATAGTAGTTAGATGTAGATGATTGCTAATATATATATATATATATATATATATATATATATATAATTATTTTAACGAAAATAATAATTGTGTACACCTAAGTGTATTTCAGATATGAAATATATATATTTATTGTCATTTTAGTCATATCTCAGTGGTTTGAAACTGTTCCCCTCTGTGCAGAAAAAGTCATAGCTTGAAAATAAGTGCATAAATGTATTTGTAAGACATGTAAATGTATCCCCAGGTTCGAAATGTGAATGTAAGGATCCTGAGGACTGCGCAGATGACTCCACCCACCTGTGTGTCTCTCTAATGGGCGGAGCTCCTGAGATGGTTTCAGAGTGTGAGGCGGGAGCTTGGAGATGTCAAGGGAAAAACATCACAGTACTCAGCATTGGAGATTGTCAGGCATAAACCACTTTCAATTGCTTGCTGCAACTGTATGATTTTTTTAAACTGTAATATGTAGTAATATGTAATATATAAAAAATATTGTAAATAAGTGCACATTCATTAATAAAATGGTTCTTAAATTGTCGGCAATGTGATTGACAAGCAGATGAAAGTCACATTTACACTTTTCAGTGTAATTGACATTTGTCTCTGCATATGCTGGGATGGAAGAAGGTATTTTAAAGGGGTCATATGATGCTTTTTTAAAGATCATTATTTTGTGTATTTGGTGTAACAGAATATGTTGACATGCTTTAATGTTCAAAAAACACATTATTTTTCAAATACTGTACATTATTGTAGGTCCTCTATGCCCCGCCTCTCTCAAACGCTTTGTTTTCTACAAAGTCCCTCCTTCCGACAAGCGCAGTCTGCTCTGATTGGCCAGCTGACCCAGTGCATTGTGATTGGCCGAACACAGCAAGCACTCGTCGGAAATGTAACGCCCCTTACTGTTGTGAATTCTTCCCTGTAAGTTTAAGACTTGCGATCTGCGTGATGTTTCAGTAATGACTTACGTAAATAACGTAGTGCAGGGTTTACCGCATGTACGGTCTTGGCGTAACTGCCTATTCACTAAGTTACCTCAGCACGGCAGTCATACTGCGTGCACACACACACACACACTGCTCTCTCTCTCTCTCTCTCGCTCGCTCGCTCGCGCACACACACACACGCACGATGCGCAAAACTCCGCATTTGAACAGTCAATAGCAAATACTTAAACTAATAGCAAAACATACTTACAGTAGCTGATTCAGAAGTGCCAGATTGTCATAGCAAAGTCAGAATTACCTCCTCTCCTAGGTTCACGAAACGGTCGTCCATAAAATGCATTGCTGTTCTGTTGTAAGTGATCTTAAAGATTCCTAAATGCATCTACTTTCGGAAGGCCAAATAAAGTGCTTTTGCTTTCGCCTAGAAACACACAGCGTCTCCTTGACATGGCTGCTTCAACACTAACTGCTGTTCCTGAAACCACGCCTTCTTTCTTTGCATGAACGTTTGGGCGGCATTATTCAAATATTTTCACATAGTGAGGTAGATATGTGGGGCGTGTTAGAACGAGCCGTTTTAGGTAGGCGTGGCAGAGTCTTAACTTTGATAAAGAATATCTCTTTGGTTTTGAGACTTTAGTCTTTGCAACTTCAGGGATCTTATCTATGCACAATCAGCTTGTAACACTCCAAAGAGAAAGGAAAACTTGAAATCGCTTCATATGACCCCTTTAATGTTGCAAAAATATACACTTAAGCTTTAACAGATGAAAATACAAGAACACATCTGAAAGTCTGATAACATTTTATTATGCTGTTCCACATCAATATCCAGATTGTTAAAAAAAAAAAACTGAATAGCATACTGTGAGTGACAAAGCAATAATGGGTTATCTGTACAAATCAATAATGAGTGAGCATTTCAGCTGTGAAAATGTCTTAATTGGTGCACAATTAGGAACTTGCGCAAGGACCTTCATGCAGAAGCTCAAACTCCATCTTGCTGCATTTCATGGCAGCCATGAAGCACAGATTCAAGCTCCGTGTGCTTTGCGTTCTCACAATTTTCAGGCAGTACATTTGCTTCCCATCTTTTGAACATTCTCTGGGGATTTTGCACTCGCATGTTTTTGATACTAAAAAGAAAAGACAATGTTGAATTATTTCAATTGAATACAAATCAAAGATGCTTTGATTCTGAAATAACACATTACAAAAGGATTCGGATTGATCAGATCTGTACCTGAGCATGTCTCCCACTCGTAACAGGTGTCTAAACCACAGGGCTCCTGCACCGAGCTCTGCTCAGATACGTTGGCCCTGAATTTGGCCCAGTCCAGACTGCCTGCGTCAGTTTTGCACAGTCCATTATTCATAAAGTATAATCTGTCTCCATGACAACGGTCAGCACAAAAAGCACAGAGGGATATCATAATGGCAGTGTCCTTGTCAGCGTCAAAGACACACAGATCTGCTCTGTAATTTCTGCAGGATACACAAATACATGGTCAAAATACTTAATGGTCAAGTTTCCCAATAGACCACAGCGCAAGTAAATAATTGTATACAAAACCTGAAACTATTGACAAAATGAATCCGGGACACATTCATACCTGCATCTCTCTTTGGACATGCAGACGCATTTAGTCCCATCATGCATCTCTCCAAGTTTACAACTGCTGTCTGGTACAAAGGGTTTATCTGCAGAAAAATATGTGTTATTCATTTAACCATGTTTGCGTCAAAGGAGCTAAATATGTGAATGTAAATGAATGTCACATACTCAAGGATGTTTTGTGAATGGTATGAAATATTATACAAAAGCACATTTATTCTGAAAGTACCAATCTTGCAGTGTATGTCTTGTGGGATACTTGGCTCCCAAACAAGACTCTTCCCACACGTGTAATATTGACGCCCTGAAGGACTCATGCCACTCTCTATGCAGGCCAGCATGATGTCACTTCCTACTTGAAACTCCATTTTGTCTGGGTATATCGTCATGCCATCAGGCACTGTGGGTTTGGCGCAAACCTTTTCTGGAATGACAGGAAAACATATGGAGTGAAAACTGTCAGGGACAGCATGAGCTTTCAGATCATAAATTGCATTGTTTTGATATTATATCAGCATTACTATGGCTTACTAATGCATCGTCCCTTTGGTTTCTCCCAAGTGCCATCTTGCAAACAGTGAATGAGCTGGTATCCATCCAGTTCAAAACCAGTGAAGCAAACAAACTCCTCGTGATCTCCATAATCATACTGACGTTTGTTGATCTGGAATAAGAGGGGAAAATATAAAAGTTGGACATTAGCGGAAGCAGACAGGAAAGCAATGTAAAAGTTTCAGTTTAGAGAAAGAATATCATGCGTTTCATCACCCTCAGGTGACTGTTGGCAGGTGGATGGGGTTTGGGACAGCCAGAAGCTCCGGGGGGCAACTGGCTCTCACGGGACCCTTCAGTCTCAAAGTCATCATCATTAATGCACACATTTTGCCTGTGAAAGACGTGTCACATTCATTGCGCATGAAATTGCGCTTCATCCATAACTTAAAATGCATTTAAATGCATACCTTTACAATACAATTGAGAACCAACTGAAGCTGCATGTACGCAGTAAACAGTTAAGTCAAATATTAATCATTAGTAATTATTAGTAATTAATGTCATCACTTACTCACCCTCAAGTTGTTGCAAATTTATATGAGTTTCTTTCTTCTGCAGAACACAAAAGGGAATTTTGGTAACCAAGCAGTTTCGTGGCTCACTGACTTCCATTTATGGTCAAAAAATATAATGGAAGTCAATGGGAACCGAAACTGGTTACCAGCACTCTTCGAAATATCTTTTGTATTTTCCAGAAGAGAGGAAATCATACAGGTTTGTAATGACATGAGGGTGAGTAAATCATAAATTTTTTGTTGGACTATCCTTTTTTGAAAATATATATTATTAGAAATTTAACAACTAAACAAATTAAACAATATGACAAAATTATGTCTAAAAAAATCAGCCCGTATAGACATATGCACAGCTGGCAAACAAGAGGTCTAAAGCGCAATCACATGTACAATCACATGGAGAGAGTGTGTGTGTGATAGAGCACCAGTGAGCAGAATGAGATTGCATGGATTGTATGCAAATGACTAGCTGCAGGCACACACTCCCTAATTTAGAACAATACAAATTCATCAACATTAGAATGAAGGTAAGAACAAATTTATATGCGTTCGCACATGTAGTTATGTGCAAATTGCAATTGCATGAATTTTTTGTGAATGAGTGACCCCAGTGACACCTCTGCTTGTAGTCTACAGACAAGACAGGGCACTTACGTCTGGAAAATAGAGATGGTACATTCCTCCACCTGTTTCTCAGGGCCTTGGCAGGGTCTGCCCCCTCGCTGCGGTGCAGGGTTGCTACAGGTACGTGAGCGATGCTTCTTCAAGGTGGCGTCACAAGTACTCCAAGAGCTCCAGCAACTCCAGTGCCCATCAACTTCATCTGACAGATGTGGACAGACTTTATTACTGGCACCTCATTTTATTATTTTTTTTTTTTAGCATTTTATTAATGCATTAATATTAATAAATTAATATTTTATATTCGTTTTTTTTTTTTTTTATACATATATTTATTCCATTTTATTTCATAGATACAGATATTCCTAGACATGCATGTGAACCTGCAGTGTAGTCCCGGGCTCGTTTCTCGCAGTTTGGTCCATAGGTCCCGGTCTGGCAAATACAAATGCACTCTGTTCCAGAAAGAGCAGGCCGAGCATTGTTTGGGCAGGGGGCACATTTGCAGGAATCAAATTCGGTCTGGTACTCTTCCAGCGCCCTATGAAGATGCCGTCTCCTTGTCAGAGCACAAGAGAAGCCACGCACCAAATTCACTAAAGGCAAAAGCTAGATAAGACATTGACAAGTCAATATTAATCTGACAGTGAATTATAGTACCTATTCATTTCATGTTCATTTGCAATTCTTTTGAATAAAAGGGTATTTTGTACCCCCAAATGTTTGACAGGTTTCTCTTCCTAACCTCAAAATCTATAACAGTTGGATTGTCTATTGTAGATTTGATCCAGTTTTGGTATGTAGTGCTGTTTGGCAATACACCCCTCCTCTCCCAGGCCAGGGCTGCTGTATATTCAGCTCTACCTCCTTGCACCGATGTGATACACTTCTCCGCTGCTTTTACAATTGACCCTGAAGTGGACAAGTGCATTTCAAACTGGGTTTACATAACTTAAAACACAAGCCTTATGTAAATTAAATAGTAAATTTGTGCATCTATTACCTTCATATTTGGTTTTTAATGTAGTTTTCCCACATGTGGAACTATATGATATTCTGTTATAGAATATAGCGATGATGGTGGAATCCTGCCTGAAGCAGCTATTAATTTCCCCTTCTGTCAGTCCTGGGAAATTTAAGGAGATACAACTGATTTGAGAGAACAGTTTCATTGCATTTTAAAAATGAGAGAAAGCTAATAAAGTCACATGAGCTTCACATGACCATGTTCTCTAATGTTGTGCCAAAACAGTTTCTTACAATCAGATGATAATGTCTGCTTACCGTAGGTTTTCAGTTCTTCTCGATCATATTGGAAAAGGAGGTCATACTTCCCCCCCTAATGTCCCAGAGCTGAAATAATGTGTCCCAATTCACACACTTACAAGGGCAGTGTACTATATTTAAGCAATTTCACACTAGCAAGAATGTTGTCATTGCCGAATATTAGCACGATATTAGAACAAGGCTATATTCTGAAAAAAACTGCATAGTTGCAAGCTTGATATTGCTTTTATGCAGCAGTTAACCCATTCACTGCAGAGGATCCATTGGTGGATGTAATGCTAAATTTCTCAGATCTGTTCCAATGAAGAAACAAACTCTTCTACACCTTAGATGACCTGAGGGTGATCTAGGTGTTTGTGCGATTAAATTAACACAGACTACATCAAAATTGGATGAAAAGCACTTTACTGAACTAGCCAAACACCCCACCACAGGCAACAAAACATTCTTAAAGGGGAAGCATAACAAGCATTGTATGTGAATTCTGTCACATCTTTAAGTGTATGCCGCCACAGTGAGTAAATATTTAGCAAATTTTCATTTTTGGTTGAATATACCTTTAATGCACAGACTAACAGTTTGTCAGGAATGCAAAAATATGGACAAACAGTGAAAAGTCCCAAAGCTATTGTGCTGCTTGCTATAACAGCATATATCTCATATCTCTTGAAAAACTGGTAAGCCAATCAGATTTAATGACCCAAACTAACTTTTGTATAAATCTCTTAATTTTAATACCCGTGTGCTTTACTCACAGATTTTTTGGCACACGGCGAGCACTCTGACCAGGGTCCAAACTCAGTCAGCTGACAGTTTATGGTACAGGCCTCAACATTACACGCTCTAGTCTCATGTGTCTGACACAGCTGGAAACAATTGTTTTTGTTCCAGTGCTCATCATAGCGTACAGCCCTGCAACAACAAATGTACATATTACAATAATGGACTTTACACATCAGATATATGTTAAATAAAGGTTACCTTGTACGTGTTTGGGTGCCAGAGTTACAGGTTTTAGTGCAATAGGACCACAAACTCCATGGGTAATGGTCACAAAAACATCCCATAATGGGGGTAAATGAAGCCAGGCTGCAGAGTAGGACAAGGGGAATGGTAGCACAATCCATAGAGAATAAGGCCTGTTGGAACTTGATAGCTTGAGGGAAAGTAGAAAGAAGTGGGTTATACGCAAGTATATGCATCAGTTTTAATATATTGTGTAAAAGCGCTCAAAAGTATGAAAAATTGGTAACAAGCAAACAAAGAAAGCTATGTACAAATAAGAAATACTGATTAAATATAAAATATTAATATCCATTGTGGTACTAAACATAAAAAACTAAGCTGAAAAATATATTCATAAATTGAATTTGAATTAAATCATTTAAATAAATCAAGACCTTACCACAGACCGTTTCTTGAGAAGAGTTGCAGAAACCTAATAATGCCTGAGCTTGATGAATAATACATCAATTTCAGATGACTCCGAAAGCATGTAAGCACACGATCATGTGTAATTTTAGTCTCTGTGTCCAAAATCAGCAAGACAGATGCACAATAAGCTGCTCTGAAATAGTAACTCTGATTCTGACCTGGATGAATTGTCTTCCAGCATTCTCTCGCAACAGAATTTGTCCATCCCCCTTAGCTTCCACTAACCCCTGCAGCTGGAACTCTTCACTTTGACATTTGCTGCTCCTGCTTTAGACCATGTGGACAGGGAGTATGTGGATAACATGTTATTACAGAAGAAAGTTATTGCCTTTCTTCATGCCAAAATAGAGGTGTCTTTTGCACTTTATCTTATTTTTTCATAATCACTTTGGTCTTTATTTTAAAAGTATCAATTTCTTAAGATTTTTAAGGGTTAATTTTAAAGGCAAAAAACTGAATACGAATTACTGTAGGCTACAATAAAACAAACAATTACAATAAAAAAAACAACAACTTTATTATCATTATAAAATGACATATAGCTTATATGAGCAGTAACTATGCATACTTTATAGACACCCGACATGAAATCATGCTGCAAACTCTCATTTAACTGTGATATGCATTCACACAAACCTGATGTCTTGAATGGATAAATGAAAAATAAATCTTTAAAATCAATTATAATAAATACAATGTTTTATTTACAATTATTTGTATTATATACATAGTGAATTTTATTGTTATATTTGTTTCAAGCTTAGAATGAAATAGCAATGGCTTTAGTGCAGAGCGCTCTTGTGCCCTTAAAATGACTAATATAATTTTTACAACATTTCCCCTTTATGGAAGACTAAATTAAAAGCATTGCACAGTGACTAAATTTATATAGAAGAAAAAAACAAGAAGCAAGAAGATGAAATACAGCAATCCTATAACTAAACGTGCCCTTTCACTGACAACAAACTCTATGACTATGATAAAAGAAAATCAGAGACAGATGTCATTTTACTTCATTCTCTTGCTTTTTTGTACAATCATATGGTTTCACAGCACATGACAAAGAATGAACCTCTCTTAGAAACTAAAAATAGACAATTGATTTTGCTTAAAAACTCAATAGGCAGGGTTTTGAGTCGAGGGGATTCTGTCCTCCAACAAGGGATTATGTAGTTTTGACACTGTCCAAGGACAAGTTACATTAGCAAAACAGTTCCAGAGACACGAAGGAGACGAGTGAAGCGTAAATTGATCAATGATCAGAAAAGACGACTTGAGACTGAGAGTATTGAAGGTTCAGCCAGACACAAGGCAACAAAGCCCGGAGAATCGCCTCTTCCTCTGCCTCACCAGTGGATAAGGAGTCAGATTTAGCAGACTGCTGTCATCTACACACATGAAAGAGCAGCATTAAAAAATAAACACATTTCTAGCTATATGATCATATTATTGGAAGGTATAAAAACTCTCTTATTATATCAGAATAAATTCCTAAAAAAGTTTGAGATGCACCTTGATTTTTCAGTGGCAAAGGCATTGTCTCCCTGAGTTTGCTTAAATGGTTTCTCATTTCTCGCATATCACTGGAAGAAATTTCACAACATAGAATGTCAATTGAGATTACAGCAAACAGGATTTATAGTACATAGTATAGTATTTGTGCTGCTAAAAGGGGTCATATGATGCGATTTCAATTTTTCCTTTCTCTTTGGATTGTTACAAGCTCTTGGTGCATAAAGAAGATCTGTAAAGTTGCAAAGACTAAAGTCTCAAATATAAAGACATATACTTTATAAAAGTTAAGAGTCAACCACGCCCTGCTAAAACGGCTCGTTCTAACACGCCCCCACATGTCTACGTCACGATGTGGGAAGATTTGCATAACGCCGCCCAAATGTTCACGCAAAGAAAGAAGGCGTAACTTTTATTCTCGCTGTAGTATTGTTGCCGCCGCCGCCATGTTGTGGAGTCGCTGTGTGTTTCGTTGTGAAAGCGAAACTACTTTGTTTGGCCTTCCAAAAGAGGACACAACTAGAAATCAGTGGTTAAGTTGTATTTACAACACTGTTCCAGAACAGTTCAACCCAAATATTCAGATGTGTGCTGCGCATTTTATGGAGGATGAGGACTGTTTCCTGAACCAGTAGCCTAATGCGTCTGTGGCACAAAGGCTGTTTCTATAAAGTTGGGCAGTTCCAACATTAAATAATTTGCCAATGATGATTAAAACGTGAGTTTTGAGCAGTGTAGAGTAGGCTTGTTGTTTCTCCGATCACAAATGCAGACATGGTTTTATGTTTACGCAGCGCGATGCAACGCAACGCGTAAAAAGACAGTATAAGTCATTATTATCATAATTATGTCACCACTGGATGCAACAAATGCCTCGTTTGTAATGGGTTTTATTGGTTTTGTCTCGTCTAGTGATGTCCGGATCGTGAACGAATCGTTCTATTTAACCAGATCTTCTTAGTGAACCAGTCGAACCAGTTCACCAAATCGAACTGTATCGCTTGAAACGGTTCGCGTCTTCAGTACGCACTAATCCACAAATTACTTGAGTTATTCGGTTTATAAACGTGCCTGACATTCCCTCTGACGCGAAATAAACCAATATCCCGAGTTATTCAGTTACTCCTAACAGTACATTGACTGAACTGCTAAAAGAGAACCGATGATGGGATGTGCACGAGCAGAGCAGCTGGACTGAGTCTCGTCACACCGGGACACGGCATCAGCAGTATGTGAGGGGCGTAACATTTCCGTCACACGCTTGAGGTATTCAGCCAATCACAACGCACTGGATAGCTGGCCAATCACAGCACACCTCACTTTTCAGACGATGAGCTTTGTAAAAATCGACGCGTTTCAGAAAGGCGGGGCATAGAGGAGAAACAATAATGTACAGTATGTGGAAAATAATGTGTTTTTGAACCTTAAACCG